TTGCCGTCTCCCTCTTCACTAATTTCTTCTTTTCATTTCTTTTTCACAAAAATCCTACTGGTTTTGAACCAGGGACCTTCTGAACACTAACCTGATGTCTTACCCCAAGACCACCAGCTCCACTGAAATTTATTTACTTTTATCTTCCTCTTATGCTACATCTTCGGTTATAAATCCAGAAAAATCAATTAACTTACTTTCAAAATCACAAAACTATACTTGGTTTCGAACCTTCCAACTCTTGTTCACTACGCCGGTGTTTTACCAATAGGCCACCGATACCACTGAAATTTTTGAGCTTTAATCTTTCTCTTATGTTACGTGTCAGTATATAATTACAGAAAAATCTTGTTAAGTACATTTGTATTTTATAAAACTTTCGCTGGTTCCGAACCTCGGAACTTCTACTCACTACGTCGGTGCGTTACCAATACGCCACCAATGCCACGGAAATTTCTGACCGTTAATCTTTCTCTTATGTTACATCTCGCTATATAATTCCAGAAAAAATTCTGATTACAAAAATCCTCGTGGTCTCGAACCACTGACCTTCTGTTTACAACGCCTGTACCTTATCTCTAGACCACCAGAGCGTCTATGCTACAGCTTTCTGCGATCCTCCTTACATTCTAAGACTTGGGTTATAGCTGCAGAAAAGTCGTATTTATTTATTCACTTTTCAATTTATATTGACAAAAGACACCGTTGTCTCGAACTCGGTACCTTCCCAATACTACGCCCATGTCCTACCCACGTACCGCCAGATCTATACAAATTTGTTACCTTCACCTTCCTCATATACTACGACTTGCTTCCTACATGCACATATTTCTTAAATTTTCTTTCTCACAAAAATAGTCATCTCTTCGAACCACGCATTTTCTAAACCAGCGTTTCTCAAACTATGGTAAGCAGACCACAAGTGGTACTCGAGGTGTGCCCTTGTTGTCCTTCAAAAAAGACAGAAGAAAAAATAAAATCCAAATTAATTGCGTATCACACTATAACTGGAAATCTCAGAATTTGGAAATTACACACGACAATCGTCTTTCACTTTTCCTTCCAGTACTGACATTTTATGAAATTTGTTACCCTACCCGCCTACCGACTACCCGCGCTACTCTCAGAACAAAAGAGGGATCTACGTATCTGTGTGAGAAAGGGTTTTCATCACTATCTGAAATAAAAACTAAGTACCGAAATCGACTCAATGCATGTGACGATCTCCGAATTAAGCTTGCCAGCTACATCCAAATACAGAACAACTGTGCAAGAATCGGCAGGCTCACCCACCTCATTAACGCGAGTATCAATATTTATTAATTTTTTTAGTTAATAAGTTAAAGATTATCGAATTTCTAATAGCCACGAATTATTAAAAGCGAATATGAATCTTCTTCTATTAACTTAATTACTTAACACTAATATAAAATTAATTGAATTAAATGAATTTTAATGAATTAATTAATTATATTTAAAAATATAAGTATACTAGTAATAAAATATGCTAAAAATGATAAATTTGTTTTCGAGGGAAACAAGAGTAAGGTGGTCCGCAGAAGTGTTCTGACTTATAAAAGTGGTTCCCACTTCAAAAAAGTTTCAGAAACGCTGTTCTAAACCATTCGCCAGTGCCTTACCAAAGGATCGCCATGGTTATGACAACGATTCGCCTTTGTCTTCCACATATCCTACAGCTTCGTGTCTACCCTTACAAAATTCCTCTTTACTGCTTGCTTCGTTTCAAAGTCATTTTCCCACTGACGGTTGGCCAGTCACTTTCTCTTAATTTAGAGCCCATTCAGACGCTCTTGCCCAGATCTTAGTCTTGGAGAAACTTCTCTGTTTGGCCTTTAACGACAAGACGGGTCTATCCCTTCTCACTTGTCACAGTCGGTTACTTTCTATATTATGTCCTTCCTCATCTAAACTACATGTCACGGCCTCTACAACTATACATATATACTGCACATGGCTTTATTGGCAATATATATATATATATATATATATAATAGAATTTCGATTTCCGCGAATTAAATATAGTGACTATCCCCACCACATAAGAAAGCTACGAGCCGCCACTGGCATACCAGCTGGAGAGGTTATTCACCACAGTTTACCTGAAGAGCACATAAAATCACTTCGGTTCAATGAAGTAATTCTGGGGGTTCGCGACATTTCAGTCCAGTCCTGCCTTTAGCTCACCGCGCTTTTTTATTAAGCGTAATGGCGTATCTCTCTGGCGGTAGCAGATTTACGGAAGAAGTATGTTGTGTCACTAATGATTTATGGATCGTGTTGAAATTGCGTAAAGTCTGATAAACAGTAATCCGTTTATCTTGCCCGGTGTGGTTAGAATACCACATGACATAAGTCTACGAAGTGAAATTCTAATATCTTCAAGATTACGTGTACAATACATTGATTTCGTGCTGGGATCACTTGACAGATTTCATCACCATCCCCTTCTGCATGTCTGGGCAAAAAGACATGCAAAGGGCGTTTTTTGGGAATCCTCCAACATTTTTTGTGGTTAATTTTACGGTGCTGTCAGCATCTGGATTGCATAGCGTAGATTGGTATGATTGATGAATTGGAAAGGATCTGGAAGGATGAAATTGTGGCCTGAGAGACGTAGTATCTAGGAATTACATTTGACGGGTTGAGGAAAACCACGAATAACCTTTGTCGCGATAGTCGATGGACTAGGCAGGGTGCCCATACTGGCAGCTGTACAGATATCTAGAATTTCTTGTTATGGACTGCAAGGCTGAAGTAGAGAATATGCAGTATGACATAAAATATAACATTATATTTATTAAGAATGTATACCTATAATCTAGTTTCATCAACCATAAATTATCATATGCCAGTTGTTACTACAGTTTTTAGGTTTTCGTGGTAATGTAGAACCAGATTGTGGCCTAAGTAGAGCCCGGTAGTTTTGTTTTGGATAAACACATGTCTCCGATTTATCCTGTATATGGAGGGAATGTACATTCACAGCTACGAGGCCAGACGACTCCCATAATATTAACACTTTCAAGATTGATGTTATAGCCGTAATAAGATGTTACAATGTTACCAACTGCGCTTTCGACATCTGCCGTACATAGTTCGGTACTATTTGGCGAACCTAACGTAATTGTCCTTCATAGATGACAGGAAGGAAGGTTGGATATGACGACAAATTTTTCTGCTCGTGTCTTGTTCCTGCGGTTTCGAACCCCGCCCCCCTCTGCCCAACTCTGCTCTTTAGATCACGTGTTCCGACATGTTCGGGTTTTCGTGTTGGACGTCACTCCCTGTCTGCGGCAACGGTTTGGTCAAGGTACGTTGTTCCGTTTGTGACAAATGGAGATGTATTAGGTTTGGAGGCCTCTTCTCTTCTACATTAACGTGTCTGCCGTTTCCTACGAAGTGGCGTTATAACGTTTCTTTTAGTTTCATTACGCAATGAAACTTAATTTGTGCTATCTCATATATACCTACTACTTACGTCGAACACAAAATTGGGAAGATATTGTAAATTCGTTTTATCTTGTAGCCATTTTGGTTTCTAGAATAAGCGGACTGATGCAGCCAGAGAATTTGCATACAGAGTTGAAGCCATTTGAGCATATCATTACGTGATCACTCTTTTCGGTAATAATGTTCGATATATTTCCGTTTCTTTTTCCAAACTTGGTTTTCTCACTCCCTCAAACCCTCTGAGCTCAATTCAGATACAATGTTTAAATAATTGTAAGATATAATGATCATTGACGACGTTAATTCTTTTCATAAGAAGAGAATTTGAAAATACAAAGCAGTTGCCCTGTTTTACTTCGCACAGGGGCAGCGGTCTATACGCCACGTCTTCGTATTCATGCGAGTCAACATGGCAGGACCTGTTAGAATCCCACAGATTCGTTTCGCTTTTATGACTTCCTTCCGAACCTCATGGCCACACTAGCAAACCTCTCATTTGATGAATATTATTCACATGGAGGAAGTTTCATATTCCTGTACAAAAAAAAAGGGGGGGGGGAAGAAAAAAATTGTGCAAACAAGATTATTTTATTCGCTTGGACATTGAATTAAAAACCAATTGCATTGTGTTAGACTACAACTATAATTTGGATTATCCTATTACTTGCTTATGGAGCTGAGCCCTTCTTGAGAAGCCAAATCTGCAGCTACTGAAGAATTTCTCAGCATTTTATGAAACCCGAAGGTCAAAATCGTGTTCACAGAAGCCCTTCAATGGTCCCTATCCTGAGCCAGATCAATCAAATCTATACCATCCAATCCTCTCTCTCTAAGATCCATTTTAATATTGTCCACCCACCTACGCCTTGGTCTTCCCAGTGGTCTCTTTCCTTCTGGCTTTCCCACCAATGTCTTACATGCATTCCTCTTTTCCCCACATTGGATTATCCTATATAATACATAAAATAAGGATAACGGAAAGTATTGAAGAAAATATTTATAAGAAAATTACTTAAAGATAGTTTAGAGGATGTGTTCTACATAATTATGGCATATAGTCTGCCCACACGGGCCCTACGCGGATGTCAGGTTTCGCTTTGTTCAGTTACGGCTCATCTGCGGATACAGGTTTTCTTCTAGATTGTTCCAGTGTGCAAGTGTAACTCAGGGAATCGTGGATTTATGAGACTTGCTTTCATGTATGGCACCGCAAGTTTCGAACCAAGGACTTTAGAAAGGTCCCTTATTTGAAGTGTTATATGGAAACATTTTATCATTAATAGCGGTATTGTGTAATAGACCTGTAGAAGAAATGTCTGGGGTGTAGGTCTAAATAAATCTAGCACTCAGTTTCAAGCTGAAAGAAATGGGCTTCTGAATTGAAGCCGTAAAGCTGAATCTTCCGTGATAGGCCAATAATTTAGCTCAGCTACACAAACTGCAGCACATTTCAGAACCACACAGTTCATTACCCCCTCCAGTAGTCCCAATCTGGAGCCAGGTGTATTATACCAGTAACTTTTCATCTCATTTACTCAATATACATTTTAATATTATCATTCCATATAAACCCAAGTCTTCCTAGTGGTCTCTTTCCTTTGGTTTTCCTATCGAAATATCACTAGCTGAAGATGAGTGCTCAGCTTCTTGCCCATGCCACTTTACCACTGGCGAAAGACCCCCCTGTACCCACTGAATAGGAGGCTGGGTGACCCTCAGAGCCAGTGTGGGTGACATGGAGAGGAGAAAATTCTTGACCTTATCAGGACTCAAATTCCCAACCACTCGGGTCATCCAGCCTATAGCCAGTCACTATACCGACTGCACTGTGGATCCATGTATCCACTCCCTCATACGTCATCATGGCATAGTGTTTATTTAAGCACAGGGGACACCTTTACTTTCTTACTACCTCTTATGCCCCAGCAAACATCCATGTTGATGAGTTGTCACTGCCCCCAGTCAGGCTAAGACTATGATAAAACAGAAACTAAGAGACTTCAGATTATGTAGTGTAAATTGGGATGTACTGGAGACATCCTTTTCTGTGAGCTCTCATTAATGTCGGTACCAATACTTATTTGCGATGGAAAACTGTGTTGATGAGCTTCGATTGCTTCTGGTCAAATTAGTCCTACGATTGAAACGTGATTTCACAGATGTCACTTCAGGTAGTATACAATGTGGTAAGTTGAACAAGTCCTTTTTAAGTTAGGATTAATGTTATGACCTCTTATTCATTCAGGCAAGAACAGTGTTGATGAGCAAAGGGTGCAACAAATCTGGTTAAAACCATATTGGAAACATGATTTCAGAGATGCCACATCAGCTACTGTACACTATTGTCAACTGAAGGAATCCATCTTTATGAGCTGTCATTAATGATGATAACATGTCTTATTTTACAGGGAACAACTATGTTGAGTCTTAATTGCTGCTTTTCAGGTTAATGCAATGATGGAAACATAAGTCACAGATTTCACATCACGTACTGTACAGTGTGGTGAGATGAACAAGTCTTCTTTATGAATTGTCATTAATGTTATCACTTATTATTTGCTGGTAGCAATGCTGTTTATGAGACTTAATTGATGCCACTCAGTATTTTAGTATTTTGGAAACCTGAAATCAGAGTTTTAATATCAGGTAGCGTACAGTGAGGTCTGATAAGGCGTCCGTCCTTATGAGCTGTCATAAAGCTGATACCACTTTTTATTTTACAGGGAAAAACTGTGTTAATGAGTCTTCATTGCTGCTACACAGGATAAAATATATATGAAAAAAAGCATTTGTAAATGTTTTATTCAGGTAGTGTACAGTGTGATCAGTTGAAAAAAATCACTATAAGCTTTCAGGAATGTAGGTACAACTTATTTGCATGAAAAGATTAGTACAAAACTGAATTGCAGCTATTCAGTATATTCCTATGTTGAAACCAAGAAATTAGAGATTTCATATCAGGGAGTGTACAGTGGTCAATTACATATGTCCTTTATAAGGAGTTATTAATGTTGGTATGATCTATTTCTGTTAGAGGCAACACAATGATGTATGTATAACAAGACACTGTATGCTGACATTATGACTGATGTCATCTCTTGTTCTTACAGGGAACATCAGTGTTGATGACCCTTCATTTCTCTCACTCAGGTTAACACATTGTTGGAAGCATGACTTTAGAGAATTTCCATCAGGTAATGTACAGTGTTGTATGCAGTTCAAGTCAATGTAAGTTGTCATTATGACTGATGTGACCTTATACTCTTACAGGGGACATCAGTGTTGATGAGTTCTCATTTCTCCCAGTAAGGTTGACACATTGTTGGAAGCATGATTTCGGAGAATTTCCATCAGGTAATGTAGTGTTGTATGTAGTTCAAGTCATTGTAAGTTGTCATTATGTCTGATGTGACCTTATATTCTTACAGGGAACATCAGTGTTGATGAGTTCTCATTTCTCCCAGTAAGGTTGACACATTGTTGGAAGCATGAATTCGGAGAATTTCCATCAGGTAATGTAGTGTTGTATGTAGTTCAAGTCATTGTAAGTTGTCATTATGTCTGATGTGACCTTATATTCTTACAGGGAACATCAGTGTTGATGAGTTCTCATTTCTCCCAGTAAGGTTGACACATTGTTGGAAGCATGAATTTGGAGATTTCACATCAGGTAATGTACAATGCTGTATGTAGAACAAGCCATTATAAGTTGTCTTTATGACTGATGTGACCTTATATTCTTACAGGGAACATCAGTGTTGATGAGTTCTCATTTCTCCCAGTAAGGTTGACACATTGTTGGAAGCATGAATTTGGAGATTTCACATCAGGTAATGTACAATGCTGTATGTAGAACAAGCCATTATAAGTTGTCATTATGACTGGTGTGACCTTATATTCTTACAGGGAACATCAGTGTTGATGAGTTCTCATTTCTCCCAGCCAGGTTAACACATTGTTGGAAGCATGAATTCGGAGAATTTCCATCAGGTAATGTAGTGTTGTATGTAGTTCAAGTCATTGTAAGTTGTCATTATGTCTGATGTGACCTTATATTCTTACAGGGAACATCAGTGTTGATGAGTTCTCATTTCTCCCAGTAAAGTTGACACATTGTTGGAAGCATGAATTAGGAGATTTTGCATCTGGTAGTGTACAATGCTGTATGTAGAACAAGCCATTGTATGTTGTTCTCATGATTGGTGTGACCTTTCATTCTTACAGGGAACATCAGTGTTGATGACCCTTCATTTCTCCCACTGAAGTTACACACTGTTGGAAGCATGAATTCGGAGATTTCACGTCAGGTAATGCACATTGGAGTACAATGATGTATGTAGTTTATGTATAAGGAATTGTAAGTTGTCATTATGATTGGTGTGACCTCTTTATTCTTAAAAGGCAACATCAGTGTGGATGAGCCTTCCTTCCTTCCTTCATTCCTTCCAGTTATATTAATACAATATTTTGAACATGAATTCGATAGATATCACATCGGGCTTTATACAATGTGGTAAGTAAAACAAGTAAAAGATCTAGCGATTCTGAGATCAAGACTTTGCTTTTAATCCATTATTATTTTTATGCCCTCTTATTCTAATGGGCAACAACTGTATTTGCGAGCCTTCATTTCTCCCAGTCTAGCTAATACAGTGTTGGAAACAAGGATTCAGAGATTCCACATCAGATAGTGTACAATGTTTTAGGTAGAAGACTTGCTTGTTTATAAGCAATGCATGTTCTAGAAGGCTGTTACAAACCATTGGATACAGTGTGCACGTGGAAACCTTTCCATGTTACAAGAATGTCTCAGGATATATCTGTAAGTTTAGGAATGACAAGAGATAATCTGATGTCATGACAGAGACTTTGAATTGTCAAGGAATGAGCTTGGAAAATGTGTCTTTCTGTTGTTCACACTGCAAAATGCTTACTGGAATTGCATTCCAGATATGAAGAAGGATTCTTCACAATTATCTGAACACTCACCAGAATTGTCTAATGATAAGGAAGCAATTTTCTGTTATATGATCTTACAAAATTATGCCCACACATACCAGTTCTCTAAGGGCCACTCAAGAGAACTTGGTTTCAAAAGTAAAGATTGGGAGAAATAAATGTGAAGCACCAACGGGATAAACACAAGGCTCATTGGGATCTGTTACTTAAATTGCTCAAATGATGATCGTATTGCACATAGCTCTGCCTTGGTGTTAAACTTGTTGCGTTTATATCCTGATATGCCATACAGCAGCAGTGCTATTGTGTGGGTTTGTAGGTTTACACATGAATCAGAAAAAGGGGCAGAAATGTGGTGAGTAAAGTTTTATATTGTGCAGAAAGTAGTTTTGGTCCAAATATTCAACAAGACATTGTTCTGAGCTATGAGAATTTGAAATACCTGCATTATATGAATTATATGAATGAATGAATATGTACAATAAACATGTATCTTTGTAAAAACAGTTTTTTTTCTGACAACGTATAATGTGAATTAAAAGGTTAATGCATGGAAACACCGAATTAATTGCTACATCAAATTTAAAATAATGCTTTGCAATTATTGTGCTTTAGGTTCTGAAATGTGTAAAATTTACCCAACATATATTGCTATTAGGTCACATGTAACATTACTTGTTTTTTGTTTGTTATGAAGTCTCATTGTTTGAATATACCCTTAGCAGCACAAGATCAATTGCACCAGAAATCTGCAAGATGAAAGTAGACACTGTTACTTTAACACCCAGGATTCTTCATATTATAAGAAATCGTTTAACTGTAACCATTGGTCTGCAGTGCTATTTGCTATATCCTATTGGAAGTGTGAGATTACAGGAACAGTGAAGGAGTGGGATTGAGCTCTCGTCGAAGGCCACGCCATTCAACCTTCCAGATGTGTTGACAGCACCAGGTGCTAGGGGTCTCCTGTTAGCTCATGAGCTACTTAGATGCCTGAACATCGAAAAGGGAGCTGATGAAAAAGGCGGAATGGGATGTGATTTCATTCAAAGACAATGAGAAATTTGCTGTAGCATGGCAGGACCAACATTTTGATGCAGTTCTCAGTATTTTTCACACAAAAAGCAGGAGTGAAGTGGGATAAGTACCCTCTAAATATCTGAACAAACCAGCAATAGTGAAGCCAAAGATCTCTGATTACGCTAACATGCTGGAAGGGTCTACAGCAGTGACTATTATACTCACGCATATCTGTTTAAGAGGACAGTGAAGAGGTGATGCAGGAAAGGGTGTGGTTCCGGAAGAGAGTTCAAGCTTTGAACTGCTGCTCCAGGAATGTTGCAGTAAGAGACTTTTAAGTTAGGTTTAAGAAGAGTGATGTAAAATCCCCAGTGCTCAAAAGAAAGACTGCTGTTGGAAAAATGGCAAAGGTTAACTGAGGCAGGCCATCAAGTGGCTGAATGAAGAGCCTCATATTAGTGACAGGAAGAAAATTGTGAGACCTGTGTCATGTGTAAAACAGATTGAGGAAAGGCACTGTGCTCCTGTAAGACGTCAAGTAAAAACTGTAACAGACAGATGCTTTGAAGTACATTACACAAGATGTGTGAAGATATTCTAAGGAGTTCTTCCTTCCCAGAAAACAGAGGTCACACATTCCTCCAAAATGCCTTTCCTTTTGACAAGAGTACACTCTTAAAATCCAGGTGACCTCAATCTCAGCTTGTAAAGAGCTTTTTTCGAAATGTCGGAGTTAATGGCATGTAATATGCTCCGTGTAAATGTACACAAGAGTTGGTGGAACTAGCCATGTGTAGTGTGATGAAGTGTGCAGCTTGTATGTATGTATGTATGAAGGGGTAGGCCTACTCGGCCCTTGCACTTAGACCTCAGCGGTCCATAAGTGTGCAGCTTTCTTACTCCCTATATTTTGCACTGCAACAAATACTTGACAGTCGTGTCCTGAACTGTGCATATAATCAGAAATCTTGTTCTCAGATGTGTAGAAATGAAAATAATTGGATTGACAGTGATATGTGTGTGAGAAACATAATTAATTTTGTGAGTGGTGAGTTCAGTGGGAGACATATTAGACAGATTAGCTATTTTTGCATGGAAAAATCTGTAATATGCAAAGTATTTTGTGTTTGCTTAGACAGCTGAATTTCATCAGGGTGTTTGTTACATATCAAAATTCATTTATAAACATTTAATCTTCATAATATTCATTCATATCTTGTGTCCTGCAAAATTTCTTAAGGCGTTAGAAAAGTGTTCCCATACCTTAAATGGTCAGTTTTAATTTAATTCTTAAATAGAATTAAATACCACCAGCAATTATTCTGTAGTTTATTAGTTTATCATAAAGTTTTTGGCTTCTGAGCCATCATGAGTGCCTTCCCCATGCAGTAGTGCCTGGCAAGTCAGGGTCCATCATACAGACTCTCAGTTGATTAATTCTGTAAGGTCAGTATTCTAAACCCTGCCATACAGAAAATCTTGGTTTTAGGATGAGATACTGAAGTGTGCCTGCAGGTAGCATGTAGACTGTTGCTAGGCAATGACTGAAAAACATCAATACAGCAGCCGTTGTGAGGCAGCAGCCCGCTCTCAACATTGGAATTAATGTTGGAAGCAGAGTTTTTCTATGTGGCCCGCTCCATGGCTATATCACACAACTGAGTTCAGTTGATGCAGTGTAGTGGAGTGAAATGTGTTAGTTGGTGAGCAGTCAGAACTGCTGAGGTTTAATCGTTAATGAGGGGTTGTTGCTAGAAGCTGGTAGCTGAGGCATGGGGATAGTTCATGAACACACAGTAAGGGGAACATCTGCTGTTGAAAGCCACTACCAGGGAACAACCAGTGAAGACACAGCAGACTGAGAAGACTTGGTTTATGCCGTAGTAAATTGTAGATTGTGTGAATTAGCAATAGCACTATAGTTACTTGTAGTTAAGATCTGTGAGTGGTCAGCGAGTCCAGTTACCAATTACACGTGACAGTATATATTTGTGGTTACAAGCACTGTACATGTGTGAAAACTTTGTATCCTAGAAGTGAAACATGGATGTCTTGGATGGTTGTTTTCCACATTCATAAAGACGTCAACGAAGTGAAGAGAAATCTTGCTCCCATTGGTAAGCCAGTACATCCTGAATACCATGAAGTACATGGATTAAATGATTTAAATGTGATTTCCTTCAAAATTGTGGTACTTAAAAGCTGTACACCTAACACTGATAGCAAATGTATTTGTCAGTATTTCTAGTATTAATGTGTATTGTACACAACTAATTATAGCTTTATAAATGTATGGTCTGAAGGTAGAAAGCAGGTTTATTTTCAGATGTGGAGAGGACTGCAGATCCGTTGGACGAGAGCTCAGACAGTCGGGAACCAGTCAGTGGTCAAAAGTACATCAGGTAGTGTGAATCTGATTGCAAGATGTAATCATTTTATTGATGTTAGTAGAAAGAGTCCAGTAATTGTATATGTGACTGTGGTTAATGAAAGATAGTGAACATTATAAGCATTACACATGTAAGAAACAATTAAGAGAGAATTAACAAAATATATGTTATTTTTATTTTTAGGTGTGACCTATAATGTTCTGTCTTCCAACTATGCTATTGGACCAATGAACTCAACTGCAAATGTAATCGAAGTGAGGCAGAATGTGCAGGGGGTTGAGACAGCCATAGCTTTTACAAGATGTAGAAAAGGAAACATATTGAGTTAAACCGGAAAATAGAAAAGTTAGGAAGAATTCACATATTCATAGGAAGGAGTTGGAGCATGCTTTTGATGAGAGAGTACCAGAAATTAGTGATGCTTGTGCATGTAACTGTAGCAGGAAGTGAACTGTTAATCTTCTAGACAGAAATATGTCTCCAAATGACATAATGGAACATTCTCAAAATCACTGTCAATTTGTCAGTTATGAAAAGAATGTCCCGCATATTAGATATTGAATTGATTTGTGTTAAGGCCAGGAGAGTTCACTGATTGCATGAATTTCTGTTCTACTTGCTGCCTCAGTGCCAGAGCATATGGATTGTGTATGTTACCAGTTTCTGTAAATGTTGATAGTATCATGTAATATTTATTGTAATGGTGTGAACGCAGTTTCTGAGGACATGGGCTATCAGTATTTTCCATTAAGATATGTATATTTTTTTATAATGGTGTATTGTTATGTCTCTGTTCTATTTGAACACAATTGTGAATATGATCACCAACAGTCAAGAGAATTTTATGAGTGCTGGGGTATTTCGAAATATGCGGTAAATCAGATGTCTGCATATTGTAGATAGAAGGATATCTCTTAATCATGTGATAGTGGTGGGTGTGGTGATGGAGGTGGTGGAAGTCATGGTGGAGGGGATGATGCCAAAGATGGTGGTGGTGATCGCCAGTGAATGTTGACGAGTGGAAAGATTTGCACAGTGAGGATGTAGATCACTGGACAGACTATATTGCACTCACATCTCTGTATACAGCTGTAATTGAGGGATGTCTAGAGGCAGTAGTATGAAGATGTAATTCAATGAATCTGTTTGGAAAAAGAAAAGAAGTGTTACTTTTCAGCAGGCCATCCTGTTGAAGGCCTGGTTAGTTTTCAGGAATGTTGCCATGTTGTGTGTGAGGTTCTTGATCTGTGTGGATCTTGAACCGAGGTCTGGAAGGCTTGTGTAGAAGCATTCTGTTTGAATGTTTGATGGCAGTCATGTATTGTATTGAACTGTGACATGTATAAAGTGCTGGATTAATTTGTTTGTGCAGTGTTTGTAAGCAATACAAGAGTCTTCTCTTTGAATGTGATTTTTTTTTGTTTGTGGATGCCTATTCTTAGCAATCGCCACTGTGTTCTGTATGGGTCTCTTATCCTTCTATATTTATCCTCCAGTATCATACAAGTTGCTTAGCTAAAGTTAGTAGAGACATAATATGAATGTGTAGACAGAATTAGTGATTCATGGTTGCAAGTCATTAATATGGGATATTGAAATGAATATCGCCAGTAGTAATCAGCAGATGGTGAGGGGAAGTGAATTGTGGTGTGAGTCTTGCTGCACAAGTGTTTGTAAGGTAGATACTAAACTCTGAAATTACAGTAAGAATGGTGAAGGTGATTGGAATGAGAAATGAAAAGTGATTGGTATGTTTGGAAAGGGAAACAAATTGCAAGAGCAAAATGGAGAGCAAGGTAGCAAAATGCAACAGGAAGTTCAGAGTTAAAGGGATTAGTATGAGGGACTGGAGGTCTGAAAGTAAGGGAAAGAAGATGAGAAGGATATATGAAAGTGATACAAAGGTAAATCACTGAAGAATAGGGAGAAAGAAGCTGACTGCAAGTAATGTGCAGAATGTCTTTGACAAACATTGAGAGAAGCAGAAAAAGGCATATAATGAGGAATTTAATTTTGGAAGACACCAGAATTAAAAATGTTTTAATTTAAAATGAAGAGCTAAAATTATTGGGCTCTTCATAAAGAATGGATAGGAGGAGGTTATAGAGGTCATTTAACTCTTGCAACAGCTCCTTTGGAAGGGGGAAGTTTTGGGAAATATTCTTTGGGTCAAAAGAAAACTATGGAAGCTATAATAAGTTGTGATATCTGGAGGGCGAGGGATTCAGAAAATAATCCCCCTTTTTGAGGTGAAGACAGGTTGCATATGGTACATGCCCCCAAGATAGTGTTTCTGTAAATGATTCATGACACATGAGAAGTCCATGAAGGTCTTTGGTAAAGGATTTATCAGGGTTCACTAAGGGGTTCTTTGGGAAGAACTGTTATGGAACGTCCATGATAAGATTACAGGTCAAAGGGTTTAGGGCAGATAAAGGTCTGCAGCAGGACAGGGTAGATACCAGTGGGGTTGAGTACTTGATGTACAAAGTACCGAGGTTGGAAAAAGGGAAATATATCTAACATTATTACCGAAAAGAGTGATCCCGTAATGATATGCTCAAATGGCTTCAACTCTGTATGTAAATTCTCTGGCTGCATCAGTCCGCTTATTCTAGAAATCAAAATGGCTACAAGATAAAACGAATTTACATTATCTTCCCAAATTTGTTTTCGACGTAAGTAGTAGGTATATATGAGATACCACAAATTAAGTTTCATTTCGTAATGGAACTAAAAGAAACGTCGTAACGACACTTCGTAGGAAACGGCAGACACGTTAATGTAGAAGAGAAGAGGCCTCCAACCCTAATACATCTCCATTTGTCACAAAACGGAACAACGTACCTTGACCAAACCGTTGCCGCAGACAGGGAGTGACGTCCAACACGAAAACCCGAACATGTCGGAACACGTGATCTAAAGAGCAGAGTTGGGCAGAGGGGGGCGGGGTTCGAAACCGCAGGAACAAGACACGAGCAGAAAAATTTGTCGTCATATCCAACCTTCCTTCCTGTCATCTATGAAGGACAATTACGTTAGGTTCACCAAATAGTACCGGACTATGTACGGCAGATGTCGAAAGCGCAGTTGGTAACATTGTAACATCTTATTACGGCTATAACATCAATCTTGAAAGTGTTAATATTAAGGGAGTCGTGTGGCCTCGTAGCTGTGAATGTACATTCCCTCCATATACAGGATAAATCGGAGACATGTGTTTATCCAAAACAATACACGTCTACCGGGCTCTACTTAGGCCACAATCTGGTTCTACATTACCACGAAAACCTAAAAACTGTAGTAACAACTGACATATGATAATTTATGGTTGATGAAACTAGATTATAGGTATACATTCTTAATAAATATAATGTTATATTTTACGTCATACTGCATATTCTCTACTT